GGCTCTGCACCAAAGCCTCCCGGAACCTTCTCCGGAACCTTCACCAGAACCCTGTTGAACCTAACCTGGCTCTGCCCCAAAGCCTCCCGGAACCTTCTCCGGAACCCCGGAGCCCTGTTGAGCCTGACCTGGCTCTGCACCAAAGCCTCCCGGAACTTTATCCGGAACCCTGTTGAACCTACCAAAAGGCTCTGGAGGATTAAAAGGATTAAAAGGATTAAATCATTTAATCCTTTTAAACCGTTTAATCCTTTTGATCCTTTTAATCCTCCAGACCTCCCAGAATCCCAAGAAAAGCCCAGCAATTTAATTCTTTAAATCCTTTTAATCCTTTTGGACCTGGAATTCCGGACCCCCTGGAGGATTAAAAGGATTAAAAGGATTAAAAGGATTAAAAGGATTAAATCATTTAATCCTTTCAATCCGTTTAATCCTCCAAAAGGCTCTGGAGGATTAAAAGGATTAAAAGGATTAAATCCTTTAATCCTTTTAATCCGTTTAATCCTCCAAAAGGCTCTGGGGGATTAAAAGGATTAACTGGATTTAAATATATTTCTCAAGGGCTTGGGCCGGGAATTCCGGACCCCCTGGAGGATTAAAAGGATTAAAAGGATTAAAAGGATTAGATCATTTAATTCGTTTAATCCTTTTAATCCCCCAAAAGGCTCTGGAGGATTAAAAGGATTAACTGGATTTAAATCATTTAATCCTTTTAATCCTTTTAATCCTCCAAAAGGCTCTGGAGGATTAAAAGGATTAAATGATTTAATCCTTTTAATCCTTTTAATCCTCCAGACCTCCCAGAATCCCAAGAAAAGCCCAGCAATTTAATTCTTTAAATCCTTTTAATCCTTCTAATCCTCCAAAAGGCTCTGGAGGATTAAAAGGATTAAATGGATTTAAATATATTTCTCAAGGGCTTGGGCCGGGAATTCCGGACCCCCTGGAGGATTAAAAGGATTAAAAGGATTAAAAGGATTAAAAGGATTAAAAGGATTAAATCATTTAACCCTTCTAATCCTTTTAATCCCCTAAAGGGCTCTGGAGGATTAAAAGGATTAAACGGATTAAACCATTTAATCCTTTTAATCCTTTTAATCCTCCAAAAGGCTCTGGAGGATTAAAAGGATTAAAAGGATTAAAAGGATTAAATCATTTAATCCTTTTAATCCTTTTAATCCCCCAAAAGGCTCTGGAGGATTAAAAGGATTAAAAGGATTAAATGATTTAATCCTTTTAATCCTTTTAATCCTTTTAATCCCTTTAATCCTCCAGACCTCCCAGAATCCCAAGAAAAGCCCGGCAATTTAATTCTTTAAATCCTTTGAATCCTTTTAATCCTCCAAAAGGCTCTGGAGGATTAAAAGGATTAAATGGATTTAAATATATTTCTTAAGGGCTTGGGCCGGGAATTCCGGACCCCCTGGAGGATTAAAAGGATTAAAAGGATTAAAAGGATTAAAAGGATTAAATCATTTAATCCTTTTAATCCTTTTTAATCCCCCAAAAAGGCCCTGGAGGATTAAAAGGATGTAAACGATTAAATGATTTAATCCTTTTAATCCTTTTAATCCTCCAGACGTCCCAGAATCCCAAGAAAAGCCCAGCAATTTAATTCTTTAAATCCTTTTAATCCTTTTAATCCTCCAAAAGGCTCTGGAGGATTAAAAGGATTAAATGGATTTAAATATATTTCTCAAGGGCTTTGGCCGCGAATTCCGGACCCCCTGGAGGATTAAAAGGATTAACAGGATTAAAAGGATTAAATCATTTAATCCTTTTAATCCTTTTAATCCCCCAAAGGACTCTGGAGGATTAAAAGGATTAAAAGGATTAAATCGTTTAATCCTTTTAATCCTTTTAATCCTGCAAAAGGCTCTGGAGGATTAAACGGATTAAAAGGATTAAATCATTTAATCCTTTTAATCCTTTTAATCCCCCAAAAGGCTCTGGAGGATTAAAAGGATTAAAAAGATTAAAATGATTAAATGATTTAATCCTTTTAATCCTTTTAATCCCTTTAATCCTCCAGACCTCCCAGAATCCCAAGAAAAGCCCAGCAATTTAATTCTTTAAATCCTTTTAATCCTTTTAATCCTCCAAAAGGCTCTGGAGGATTAAAAGGATTAAATGGATTTATATATATTTCTCAAGGGCTTGGGCCGGGAATTCCGGACCCCCTGGAGGATTAAAAGGATTAAAAGGATTAAAAGGATTAAATCATTTAATCCTTTTAACCTCCAGATGGGAGCCTTTGGGGGATTACAAGGATTACAAGGTTAAATGATTTTAATCCTTTAATGCCTCCAGAGCCTTTGGGAGGATTAAAAGGATTAAAAGGATGAAATGATTTAATCCTTTAAATCCTTTTAATCCTCAGATCCCTTTGGGGATTAAAAGGATTAAATCATTTAATCCTTTTAATCCATTTAATCCCCCAAAGGCTCTGGAGGATTAAAAGGATTAAAAGGATTAAATCATTTAATCCTGTTAATCCGTTTAATCCCCCAAAGGCTCTGGAGGATTAAAAGGATTAAAAGGATTAAATCATTTAATCCTTTTAATCCTTTTAATCCTCCAGAGCCTTTTGGAGGATTAAAAGGATTAAAAGGATTAAATGATTTAATCCTTTTAATCCTTTTAATCCTTTTAATCCTCCAGAGTCCTTTGGGGGATTAAAAGGATTAAAAGGATTAAATGATTTAATCCTTTTAATCCTTTTAATCCTTTTAATCCTTTTAATCCTCCAGACCTCCCAGAATCCCAAGAAAAGCCCAGCAATTTAATTCTTTAAAACCTTTTAATCCTTTTAATCCCCCAAAAGGCTCTGGAGGATTAAAAGGATTAAATGGATTTAAATATATTTCTCAAGGGCTTGGGCCGGGAATTCCGGACCCCCTGAAGGATTAAAAGGATTAAAAGAATTAAATCATTTAATCCTTTTAATCCTTTTAATCCTTTTAATCCTCCAGACCTCCCAGAATCCCAAGAAAAGCCCAGCAATTTAATTCTTTAAATCCTTTTAATCCTTTTAATCCTCCAAAAGGCTCTGGAGGATTAAAAGGATTAAAAGGATTAAATCATTTAATCCCTCTAATCCTTTTAATCCCCCAAAAGGCTCTGGAGGATTAAAAGGATTAAATGGATTTAAATATATTTCTCAACGGCTTGGGCCGGGAATTCCGGACCCCCTGGAGGATTAAAAGGATTAAAAGGATTAAATCATTTAATCCTTTTAATCCTTTTAATCCCCCAAAGGACTCTGGAGGATTAAAAGGATTAAAAGGATTAAATCATTTAATCCTTTTAATCCTTTTAATCCTTTTAATCCTCCAAAAAGCTCTGGAGGATTAAAAGGATTAAAAGGATTAAATCATTTAGTCCTTTTAATCCTTTTAATCCCCCAAAAGGCTCTGGAGGATTAAAAGGATTAAAAGGATTAAATCATTTAGTCCTTTTAATCCTTTTAATCCCCCAAAAGGCTCTGGAGGATTAAAAGGATTAAAAGGATTAAATCATTTAATTCTTCAAATCCTCTCAATTATCCAAAAGGCTCTCAAAATTATCAGAATTAACCGGAACAAAATGGTACCTAAAGGTCTCTCGATCATATATATATATATTTATGTATATATATATATAAATATGTAAGATATAATATATAAATCCAAAAATGTAAAATATGTTAATACTCAATAATATTCAATATTTTGAATGTAACTATATATATATATATCATATAGAAAATACATACAATGCATTTTTAAAGATATATACAGTATACAAGATATATATATATATATATATGTATAGTCAATATAGTATATATAGTATATGCGCATATGATACAATAAATCTTATGTATATTTTTTTTTAAATCTTATCAAAATATATTTTCAATATATATATACATATGTTTATACACATATTGTATTTAAAGTGTATATATTTTAAATAACGTACAACATATTTTGCATGTTTAAAAAATGAGGAGTATTTTGAATACATACAATTGTATTCCTTTTTTTTTTTTTTACCAAATATGATATTTATAGATATATTATTTCAAACATATATTGTATATGAAGTGTATTATTTATATATTATATATATACACTGTTTGTAAAATTGTTGATTTATATATATATACAGTATATATATTTCAAACTTATTTTGAATCTCTATATATATATATTATCTATTTTTTTATTGTGTATTATATTTTATCGTTTCTATATTGTATATATTATATATTATATAGTTTTGGATTATATTACATTTATTTTATGTATGATATATTCTATGTAAAATATATACAATACAGTCCATAATATATTCACACATATGATAGGTAATTTTCAATATATACATACATAGTTTGTTTGATAAATAGAATATTATATATGTGATATATATATATATGATATAGAAAATGCATGGTTTATACATGACAGATGTAATATAATATAGATATAGCATAATATAGGTAATATATATATATTGCATATAGTGTATGTTTTTTGAACATGGGCAATATTTGCTATATATAGAATATATGTTATATCAATGTATAATAACACATAATATTTTCAAATTTTCTGGAGTATAATATATAGTATAAATAGATAAACAAATATGTAGAGATATATACATTAACTATTATATATTTGGGTACATACTCACACCCTGTATATACACATATTTCTATCTATCTATCTATCTATCTGCCTTTCTTTCTTTCTTTCTTTGTTTCTTTTTTTTTCTCTCTCTGTTTCTATCTCTCTCTCTCTCTCTATATATATATATACACATACCTTGTATATACCAATGAAATCCCACGAGTACCAGTGGTTTTGAGCATTCTCTTTGCATATTCATACTCTCCTTCAGTATATCATACACTAGTCCCATTCGTTTATGACCTGGAATGGGTTCCTGAAGATGCCTCCTTTTGTAGGTTGAATTAAATCTGGCAATCAGCAGTTTTCCCCCTGCTATAGGGCCTTGGCGCAGATAAGATTTTCTACAACGCAGTCGTCAGCTCCTGCGACAAAGCTTCAGCATGGCCCCAGGCGGCGTTGTTTCCGAATGTTTCCCTTGACCCTTTGTAGGTCTTGTAGGTTGACTGGCGGGGTTGACGGCAAGTGTCAAAGCAATGAGTGCTCGGTGAGAGCATGTCGTTGAGTTTTTGCACTCCGTGCAGGTCTTGGTTCTGTTTTCTGAGCTTCAAGAACTGGGGTTTGCAGACATTATTCACTATGATGCAGCGATTGGTGCATGCGGCAAAGCTGGGGATTGGCAGCAAGCACTGAAATATCTGCAAGAGGCACAGGTCAACCGGCTACAGCCAGATAATATTGCATATTTCACTACACTCCGTGCCTGTGGGAACTCTGAGAAATGGCAGGAGGCCTTGCAGTTGCCCCAGTTTACTTAGCAATAATGTTGGGTGATCTCTTTGGGCGGTTTGTTCCTTTTCAGTTCTTGTGCTATGGGTTTGCTGGCATTTTGAAATTTGGAAGTCAGGGGCCAGCAAGTTCGCCTTCTCAAGGTTGCTAAGTGGAACCAAAGGCCTCGACGTGGCCAGCTATAACGCAGTGATCATTGCTCTGGAGAAAGTGGCATGGGAGCGGTCCCTGGATCTCCTGAAAGCCATGGACAGGGTTCAGGTGGGGGCAAAGAGCCAAAGTTATTTTCGTTTTTTCGTTCCGTCGCAGGGCTTCAAAATGGGGTCGGAATGGAGGGACAGGGATCCTGGCAGGTGGCGATAGATGCCAACAGTCTGGCAGGTGTCATTCGCGCGTGCAAGAATGCAGGGGAGTGGCAGCAAGCCGTGGCTTTGCAACTGCAGGTAGAACTTCGGAGGCTGCATGACACACTGACGCACAGTGCATTAATGGGGGCCTATGCGCTGAATGCCATGTGGGAGGAGGCTGTATTCCTACTGGAAGACTTAAGCATGAAGAAGGCGGGGTTGAACGGGTTGCAAGTTTCCACGTGTTCAGTAGACGGATGGTGAGTAATTGTATTTCTATTTGAATTTGTATCTATTATTTCTTCAAATTGGTGTTGTAAACATGCAGTGTGAAGGTGAGACCAAACACACTCGCCTACAATGCCGCGATGAATGCCTGTAGCAATGCAGCTGAATGGCAGCAGTGCATTGGCCTACTGGAAGACCCAGAGGTTAAAGCAGACATCAGCAGTTTCAACATTGCAGTGAGCGCCTGTGGCAATGCAGCCATGGGTCTGGAAGCCATCCAACTGCTTTGTGAGTTGGAACGCCAGAAGCTGGAAGCGACCACCATCACCTATAACACGGCCATCCAAGCTTGTGGAAACTTGTCTATGAGTCTATGAGCGTTCCACCCTGTTGTGGCAGTTTTGTCGAGACTTTCCTGGCAGCTAGACTTTGGCAAAACGATTGTCGGATGTAACACTTTTGGATTCGTACCAAAAAGCTCAATCTTGTCTCAGTAGGGATTATCCATGATCACCTCGAACCCTGGAGTTGTTGACAATGAGCAACGGAGGAAACGCAGCTTTGTTGTCAGAGGCACTGGATCTTCTCAAGGAGTTTCAACTACAACATATTCAAAAAGAATCTTGCTACAGAATTCAGGTGTAGATTTTGTCTATTCTTCAAGTTTGGAGAGATACTATAGTTTTTCATGTTTTTTGGAATAGTTTTGCCGCAAAACCTTTCTCTTTACAATGGGCTCATGAGTCATAAAAGTAGCAGCTGCAGGACGTTATCAGCTACAACGCAGCTATCAGCGCCTGTGAAAAGACTTCTGCGTGGTGGCAGGCCTTTATACTCTTGAATAGTTTGGAGGAGGAGGAGGAACTGCAGGCAGATGCCATCAGCTTCTTGATCTGATTCGGCATGGTTTTGATGTGAGTTTTACATAGGAATATTTGTAGTAACAGTAGCGACATTATGATAGAGCTGTGCATTCTACCTCGGGTTTTCTGTTTGTTAATATGATGTATGGTCCTTGCCACTTGCCTTGGCCTCCAAAACCTTGCTTATACTTCGCATGTAGAGGGAACAGTGAATCAAAATCCAGTTTTGAAGCATTTCTTGGGTGTGCACTGTATTTTTTTTTTGCGAGTTTTGCAACATCCACTTGTGATTTTGCTATCCGACTATCCCTAATCCATCCCATCGGAGGCTACAATACTGCCATTAGCAGCTGTGAGAGCGCGTTGGACATTTGGAGCTTAATACACTTGGCTGGTGCTTGAGGGATTGGAATTCCTGAACAGGGTGAATCGGGGGTATCTTCATCATCTTTGTTAGGCAGGCTTCATTCCCACCTTCGGCACCAGCTACTCTATACAAGTGTTCTGTATTTGTTTAATGTTTTTCTGACATTGATTATTGATTTCAGCATTTAAAGACTTGACGAATCTTTTTAGCTTGACGTGCAAGCACTATAGAGCAAGTCACAAGGAGTGGGAACAGGCATTGGAGCTATTGGTCCAGATGGAGAGGAAGGAAGTTCAACTTGACATCATTTCCTTTGATGCCGCGATCAGCGCGTGCGGGAAAGCTGGTGAGTGGGAACAGGCCTTGGTTTTGTTCGACTTGAGTGCCCAGAAGGCGCAACCAAACATCATTACCTGTTCGACTATGATCAGTGCATGTGGCAATGCTGGGGAATGGCCAAGGGCTTTGCATTTCTTTGATGAGGCTCTGGGGAATTGAGACTTTGCCAAACACTGAGGTAGTAGAACCAGTGCGGATACACCGGATCCGATATAACGTGTACTTTAGTAGATTTGACAATGTAAGATCTATCTTGCTGCTGTGATCTACGACTGCTTCTGTGATCTATGATGTTTCGGAGTGTGCTTGTTTTTGCTCACGCCGCCTCTAACGACCCCAGGCGGTTTGCGTGTTTTGATGTGCCATGTGCGTGTTGTGTTTTCTTTTGGGGGGGTGGGGGGGGTGGGTGGGGTGGGGTGGGATGTTAACGTTCCTTGCACTTCGTACATTACATGTTGCTACGCTGTAGAGATCTCTGGGATCGTTGCTACGTCACATGTTGTTACGTTGCTGATGGTGTGGGGGGGGTGGGTGGGGTGGGGTGGGATGTTAACGTTCCTTGCACTTCGACATTACATGTTGGCTACGCTGGGATCGTTGCTACGTCACATGTTGTACGTGCTATGGTGGGGGGGGTGGGTGGGGTGGGGTGGGATGTTACGTTCCTTGCACTTCGTACATTACATGTTGCTACGCTGTAGAGATCTCTAACGTCACATGTTGTTACGTTGCTGATGGTGTGGGGGGGTGGGTGGGGTGGGGGTGGGATGTTTACGTTCTTGCACTTCGTACATTTATGTTGCTACGCTGTAGAGATCTCTGGGATCGTTGCTACGTCACATGTTGTTACGTTGCTGATGGTGTGGGGTGGGGTGGGGTGGGGGGTGGGATGTTTACGTTCCTTGCACTTCGTACATTTCATGTTGCTACGCTGTAGAGATCTCTGGGATCGTTGCTCCGTCACATGTTGTTACGCTGCTGATGGTGTGGGGTGGGGTGGGGTGGGGGGGGATGTTAACGTTCCTTGCACTTCGTACATTACATGTTGCTACGCTGTAGAGATCTCTGGGATCGTTGCTACGTCACATGTTGTTACGTTGCTGATGGTGTGGGGTGGTGTGGGGTGGGGTGGGGGGGGATGTTTACGTTCCTTGCACTTCGTACATTTCATGTTGCTACGCTGTAGAGATCTCTGGGATCGTTGCTACGTCACATGTTGTTACGTTGCTGATGGTGTGGGGTGGTGTGGTGTGGGGTGGGGTGGGATGTTTACGTTCCTTGCACTTCGTACATTACATGTTGCTACGCTGTAGAGATCTCTGGGATCGTTGCTACGTCACATGTTGTTACGTTGCTGATGGTGTGGGGGGGGTGGGTGGGGTGGGGTGGGATGTTAACGTTCCTTGCACTTCGTACATTAGATGTTGCTACGCTGTAGAGATCTTTGGGATCGTTGCTACGTCACATGTTGTTACGTTGCTGATGGTGTGGGGGGGGTGGGTGGGGGGGGGTGGGATGTTTACGTTCCTTGCACTTCGTACATTTCATGTTGCTACGCTGTAGAGATCTCTGGGATCGTTGCTACGTCACATGTTGTTACGTTGCTGATGGTGTGGGGGGGTGTGGGGTGGGGTGGGGTGGGATGTTACGTTCCTTGCACTTCGTACATTTCATGTTGCTACGCTGTAGAGATCTTTGGGATCGTTGCTACGTCACATGTTGTTACGTTGCTGATGGTGTGAGGGGTGGTGTGGGGTGGGGGGGTGTGGGATGTACGTTCCTGCACTTCGTACATTTCATGTTGGACGCTGTAGAGATCTCTGGGATCGTTGCTACGTCACATGTTGTACGTTGCTGATGGGGTGGTGGTGGGGTGGGGTGGGGTGGGATGTTTACGTTCCTTGCACTTCGTACATTTCATGTTGCTACGCTGTAGAGATCTCTGGGATCGTTGCTACGTCACATGTTGTTACGTTGCTGATGGTGTGGGGTGGTGTGGGGTGGGGGGGGGGGGATGTTTACGTTCCTTGCACTTCGTACATTTCATGTTGCTACGCTGTAGAGATCTCTGGGATCGTTGCTACGTCACATGTTGTTACGTTGCTGATGGTGTGGGGTGGGGAGGGGTGGGGTGGGGGGGGATGTTTACGTTCCTTGCACTTCGTACATTTCATGTTGCTACGCTGTAGAGATCTCTGGGATCGTTGCTACGTCACATGTTGTTACGTTGCTGATGGTGTGGGGTGGTGTGGGGTGGGGTGGGGGGGGATGTTTACGTTCCTTGCACTTCGTACATTTCATGTTGCTACGCTGTAGAGATCTCTGGGATCGTTGCTACGTCACATGTTGTTACGTTGCTGATGGTGTGGGGATTGAAAGACTTGCAAGATTGAAAGAACTTGGCACGTTGGCAAAGACTTGCAAGTGAAAAATATAAAAACTTCGGTTTTTTTTTGTATGGGGACAAAAATTGAATGCTTCGACCACTGTAAATTCATGAAAACGACTACAAAGTCATGCAAATACCAATGGAAATGCAAGTCATGTCAAAATGCGAATGTCACAAAACCCTGGAAGGGTTGCAAAACTGAAGACTGAGCTGCTGGAAAAAAGGTGAAATTGCGCGGGGTCATTGCGGGCGGCGTGTCCTTGTTTTTTCTTGACCGGTTGCGATGTGTGGGCAGGTTGACAGGTTGCGATTGGAAGCCAACCTCATTACGTACAACGCGGCCATCAGCGCCTGCGTAGGCTGGAACATCCCTATGTTTTTGCATAGCCAAGGGCAGTACCAGGGGAGCGGATACTTGTGGCTTCGACCAAAACCTTCTACCTTCCCTTTGATTTGACGGAGAATTTCAAGCTTCTGGAATGAGTTCCTTAAGGATCCTTAAGGCTGGATCGAGCAATTGACGAGTTGTCCGTTTGGTGCCCAAAAGTGGGTAAAGGCCATGCCGGCTTCAGGCACCGGAACAACTCAGCTTGTTTGTCAACAGTGTAACTGGAAGATCTGGAAGGTATTCCCCGCATGATGTCCCCATGGGGTGCTTCTCGAGTTAGCAAATTTGCACCATAGCTGCTATAGCCGTCACTTTCTGAGGTGATAGCTACTGGGAGGGTAGCTTGCAACTCTTCAGTGAAATGTCTCGTGGAGGCGGGCAGACATTTGCTTCAGGGAAACAAGAAGATCAGAAAGAGTCGCGTCAACAGATTGGTTTTGAGATGGGAGTGTACTTGGGAGTTGGCGAGCCCATTTTTGCATACGATTTTTGAGGGACGAGATGAGTTTATGATCTACAAATCTGTTGTCTTTTTTGGGAACACGGGAGGTATCAATTCCCGGTTTGGTACCAGTACTACGTTCGTGTTTGCGCTGGATGTCCAGGGTTCTCCCTCTTTGCGAGACTACTTAGCAGCAAGAAGCAAGTTAGCACATCCAAAATTCTGCTTCCAAGCCCCAACCTAGTAATTGTGACAATTCAGCAGTCAGCGACGCAGGTTTGACTCCCAGCATCGTGAGCTACGGTGCAGTGATGGCCGCCGTGGACTGGGAGCGGGCTGTGCATCTTTTTGAGCAGCTCCAGGTGCCATCCACCGCATCCACCAATATATGCATTTTGTTCGCATCCAGATTCATCCCACCTCCAAAGATTTGGGTTTTGGGAATTGGGTCAGAATTGTGGACCCTGGAATCCCTGGAAGAGGCAGATTTTGGGGACTTTGAGCCATCTCGCCAATCTTAGCCATCTCATTTTGATCAACTAAAATGGATCATTTTCTGGGTGCCATCCCCAGTTGCAGTCAGATATTGTGGGAGGTTGAAGAATTGCAGCCCAACGGCATGATCTTTGTGGCGCTAGTTGATGCGATGGCCCTCGACTCCCAGTGGAATCAGGTGGAAACTGAAATGCTTTCGGGTCGTTTTGCAAAGCCTTACCGATTTCAACTTTGCCCCAATCCAAATTGTATTATGACAAACAATAACATGGATATATATATATATATGGATATATGATATATGCGTGACATGTAAGATATTGCAAGGTCTGCAGATGAACTTGGGTGCCCAAACACTAAGTAGAAGAATTAAAACACACACATATATATATACATATTATGTATATATATATACACATAATATATATATATATTATATATAACAAACTTGCAGCGAAAGGATGGGAAACGAGGTGATGTACAATGACACTTCTAGGCTGGTGGCATGGCCCAAGCCTGGTGAGGCCTTGGCCTTCTTGGAGCTTGAGCAGTCCCAGAACAAGAGGCCGTGCCTTGCCAGGACGTGTGAGTGGCGGCAAAACCTCTGATGGTTGATGATTGGTTGATGAATGGTTTGGAAGTTAGAATATGTTGTGCTACCGCCCAATATATTAATATAATTTAATATATTATATTGATATATATATATATTAATATATATTGCAGATTACGAGGCTTTTTTTTAAATGTCAGGGGTGCCTTCCGCTCAGGAACTTGACCGTCTACAATACTGTACTCAAAGCATTTGCAGAAGCTCAAGAATGGGAGAAAGCTTTGACCATGATGGCCGAGATGAGAGAGATGCTTTGTTTGGAGCCGCCAGTAATGCTTTTGTTGTCGTAAACTTCTATCCGGGTGCCCACATGTGTTCTTGTAAAACTTTCTGTTCTGCCAGGCTTGCAGTAGCAAATCCTTGTGGACACATATTTACGAAACCCTCTCGCGCAACGAAGGAAAGAATTGCAGCCCGATTGTGCTTCTTATCTGACGGCCATTAGGTCATTCTTTTGACAAAGAATTCAGCAGCTTGGGAAAAAAGCTAAATGATGCTAATTGCAAATTTTGAATCAAAGGTAGATCCAAAGTGAAGATCAGCCGTGATACATCTCCATGGAGATTTGACAAAAAGGCTGCCAGTCGGCTTAAGACATTCCGCTTTTGACAGCTTCTTCAAAAGGGTATATATTGAAACGCCTGAGAGTCATGCCAAAGTAGATCCAGAAAGCAAGTATGGCTTAGGCTTCCCATCAACCAAAGGGAGAGTGGAACTATATTAACTATATGATATATATAATTACATATGTATATATAATCGCATATCATTTGATAGCGCCAGCGTGCTTCCCGGCTTCCTTACACTTCAAGTGATAATCATGACTTGATTTGCCGAGATGGTGGCGCTTTCAGCTTGGCAAAGAGCGAAGCGTGGGATGTAAAACGGGTCAAGGTTTCAAACTCTCTAGAAAAGTGTTCCGGCTTTGCGGAAAATGTGTGGAATGTTGTGCTGCCGGGCTATTGGTAACCTTGAAAGCAGTCTATTGAAGGCTTTCTTATGCCCAGTGCTTTTTCCTTGCCGGAGTGTGCTTGACCTGATGCATCCTGCTCTCCATACCTTTGGAGAGCTGGCTGTAAGCCGAAAGTTATCTTGGCTTTTTCGACTGCGTCTTGTTGGACAAAAGTCATACAAGACCTTCCATATTCCATACCCTCTACCCTCAGCCCTTCGTCTGGACCAGTGGTAGAGACTGACATAGATACCAAACTGCAAGCTTGGCTCGCAGTGATCCGCTCAAGTGGCACTTTCTTTTCCCAGGCGGCACCACAAAGTGTCTGTGCACATAATCAGCTTCTACTGAACTCCGGACTATCCGGTCTTTTTCCAAGCATTTTACATTCAGTTCTTGTTGAAGCATTCACTTCGTATGAAGCAAAGACAATGACAATCCTGCAACGTTCCACAGGCAGCGGTTCAAGCAGCAAAAATAGTTGGATTACTGGTTCTTTCTTGCTTGAATACATCTAGGCCACCAGTTAGAGGCTGCTCAAGGTGGAGCCCCCATTGCTGATGGCGCTGCCAGAAAGTGCAAGATGGCTCAACATCGGCGACAGGATAGGGGACTAACTGACTAACTGTAGCAAGCGCAGTGTAGGAAGTCCTAAGTGCAGTAACCTTAGAAACTGAATAATGGACTTGACAATGACAACTGCAGTTGAATTGACTGTGAGATCCCTAAGGTTCAACATCAAATCACACTGCTACCTTTTGGGTTCTATTCTGATGTACCGAAGCAGTCTCTATATACCTGAGACCTGGCAGGAGCGCGGCAATCGTGAGGTGCCGGAGGTGGGAGTTTGACTTCATTACTTTGAGTAGTGAATTTACTACTGGTACGTATGCACTGTAGTCACTGTATACAGTCATGTTGTGATTCTTGAACACATCGAAATCGATTCACTGCGGTTCTCAATGGTTCTAAGATGTTCTAAGTATTTCTAAACCAGAAATTCACTACGATTTCTAAGTTTCCACGTCTCCAGACGTCTCCGTCTGTGACGTTTCCAGGGATGGGTCTCCCGAGTGCCGCCGGTGCCGGAGCTGCCGCGCTCGGAAGCTGTGCTGGTGGCCAAGCCAAGGTGAAGGGCCACGGAGCTGATGGCAGAGAAACATCATGAGAAACATCATGAGAAATCAAAATGTGGCAAATATGTGGCAAATATGTGGCAAATTCGAATTTGTTCTCATCTTGTTCAAATTTATGTTTTTTGACGAGTGATTTGGAACGCTTATTGCATCGTTCATTGGAGAAGGTGTTGGCATGTGTTGGCTAAACTTTTGAATTCATGCCCAACATGTGACGTAAAAGGATGGATCTTGGGCTTCAGTAAAGGGGTCAGCGGACTCCCTGTTTCCTGAAGACATGCGCCCATACAGTAGTGGTTCTGTCTCACCACTTGCTGGTAGGCTTGGTGATGAAGTGGAAGCCTTATTTGCAGAGGCCAAACAGTAGAAGTTGGTCAGCGGCATCATGTCATGCATGAATGGTTTCGATATTTCGAGCATGTTGAAGAAAGACATTTATATATATATATATACATATAGCCCGCAAGTGATTGGGGAGCTGGTGGTAGATCAGCCTATGGAAGTTCGAGTGATTCTGAATCTGCATCCCAAACAAGTTGAACCTGAGACATCGTGTGACAGGCAGCGGCATTGGTGGCTTCGCGGCCCCGGCGCAATACGCGATTGCAGATCTTGGAGGAGGAGGTGAACGTGGGTCTCGAAGGATCTCGAAGGATCTCGAATCTCGAAGGTAAACCTGTGAAAAAAACAAATCTTGGAGGAGGGCCTCAAGATTGACACAAACACATATGGCATACCGGACTTTAGGGGAATTTCAAAGTGCAATCAGATCTCACACAAAAATATAAAACATTGGATGGCAAGAATCAGTGAACACGCTTCGACACGGCTAGATGCATCGCCACGGTGCTGCAAAGAAGATTGGAACGGCTTGGCGGCAGCAGGTGTCGTCATGCTGCCATGCAAACATTCATGATTGCATGACATTGCGCGTGCCTTTGGTTTCCTCCTATGATTTGTTTCAGATGATATTGATCTCGCCGCTAATTGCAATGACGTCAAAATTATCATATCCAGTGGCACCAGTCTTTCTAAAGGCGCAGCATCGGCAGCAGAAGGCAGCACAACTGCTGCAGAACCACTTCCGCGGATGGCGTGCGCGCAGGCTGGGTTCCACATGGAGCTGGTTCTGCGTTGCAGGCAATTCATGAGATGATCTCATGGATTGACTCATGGATTGACCACTCATGATGATAGCGCAGTTCAATGGAAGGGCTGGAGGTTGTTCTGGGGACGGCTCTTCAACTTATCTATGAATTCGTAAACAGCGATCGTGATCTATGCGGCATTGTGCAGTGCAGATGCATCTCTCTCTCTCTCTCTCTTTCTCTCGCTGTTTCTCTGCTCATCCATCCATGCGCCGGTCTATGGACATTTACCGATTCAGAAACTACCTGCGAGTCACAAACTGCGAGTCACAAGCTGCGAGTCAGAAACTGTTGGAGACGAGTCAGAAACTACAGCTTCACGCGCCAGTCTTCTTTTCATTGTTTTGTCTATGTCTATGTGAAATACAGAATATGTGCATTACATGTGCAAAATTGTACAGTATATGCACAGTCAGCAAGCACTTGGAATCTTGATCACCAATCGACATGGTTAGCGTTGGTGCAGGGTTGTTCAGAGGGAGAGGGAGAAGCAGCGCGCTTCTCGACTGCAGAGGTGGTGGCGAAAGAAGAGGCGGGGACAGGATGGTACAGGCCCTTGATGGCCAACGTCAAGATGTTTGCTCTGTGCTGCCTCCGGTTCAACTCCGACCGTCCAAGCCTTGCGCAGCCTGAGCAGGTTCTATCTTGCTTGGCTACAGACGCACCAGCAGCGCAAGGCTGCGGTGAAGCTACAAGCCTTTCACCGGGGGAACAAAGCACGGCAAGAGGCGCTGTGGATGGATTGAGCGTTGAGATAGTTGAAAGGAAGGGTAAATAGGAAGACAGTTTTGAAGTAGGTTGACGCTATGGCCGCCATTCAATCTTGCATCCATCATTTGATAGTCTCTGTCTCTCTCTCTCTATGTATATTATATTACATAATTGTGTATATATATATATGTATACACATTATTAAATTATAATATTCTATATATTGCAAAGTCAAATGGGATGGACGAACATGGGATGGGTCAGAAGCTGTGAATCAGAAGTCCTGTCGAGATTTCTTTTCTGTTTCACCTGGATTGTCGGGCTTAGGAAATGGATGATGCCCACCAGTTCTATGGCTTGACTGGAAATCTTATGTGAAGTGTTCCTGCGGGTTGGAGGTCTACAACATGTTGGTCCTGCATTCTTGGGCTGTTCTGCGAATGCAAGCGGTCTTCCGGGGCCAACGCGCAAGACGCAAGGCAGGTGTGGGAAATTATAACCCGACTTACATAGAATCTGAGGACGGAGGACAGCACAACATGCCTGGATAAAGGTGTATTTCAGTTGAAGCTCGGCCGTCTTTCACATTTTTGAATCCCACCAAGATGCTCAACAAGCTGAAGTTTTTCAAAGCATTGATTTGCCCTGCCTGATTCTTGCGAGGCGCAGAAACAGCAGCAATGCGCTCGAAAAATCCAAGCGCATTGGCGTTGGCATCGCCTCTGGCAGGCCGTTGGAGAAGACGCAGTGGGGTGGCGAGGATGGGGCGCTGTCATCCTTCTTGCACATTTTGGGGTCAAGAGATGCAGAGATGCAAAACTTCAGAACTGTCAAGAGCAGAGTTATGATTTTGACACATTTTGACACATTTTGACACATTTTGACACATTTTGACACATTTTGACACATTTTGACACATTTTGACACATTTTGACACATTTTGACACATTTTGACCAGTACGTTTGCATTTCAATGACACTGTCCACCCGACAATCTCTACGATTTCATGGAATTCTGGTCTCACCATGGGCCTAGGCGTACCTGCGGGATCGGCAGCGGCGAACGGCCGCTGTCACCAAGCTCCAAGCGCTGATCCGTGGCTTCATGGCTAGGTGCAGATTTCTCAGGATGGCGGCCACCAAGGCCAGGTGACTCTGTGACTCCATTCAAGTGTGTGAAACGAGCCGTTTACTTCCTTTTACTTCCGGATTTTCTATGATTTTCTGATTTCGAAAGCCTGTTGTAAAAGTCTGAAAGCTGTTCAAAACGGTCAAAGAATAGAGGTTTGAGAGAGAAATGGCCTCAACTCTGGCACCTGCGAGGAATTCTTGAATCAGGGATCAAATGCAGAATCTGTGGCCGAACAGCAAGTTCCGATCCAACAGCATGCCGACCCATTTGCTGCCTATCCAAACATGTTTGGCGACCAAATATCACAGCAAATTTATCCTCAGGCCAATATGGCGCAACCAGGACTGCAACCAGCAGACCACCAACTTGCTGGGCAGCCTGCACACCAACCCATGGCCCAGCAGTTTGCAGCACGACCAGGAGCGCCAGTGCAACAACAACTTGGTGGACAGCCTGCGCAGCAACCTATGGCCCAGCAGTTTGCAGCACAACCAGAAGCACCAGTGCAGCAACAATTTGGTGGACAGGTTGCACAGCAACCCATGGCCCAGCAGTTTGCAGGACAAAAAGCGCTTCAACCTGCGCTGCAACCAGCAGACCACCAACTTGCTGGGCAGTCGGCACAGCAACCCATGGCCCAGCAGTTTGCAGCACAACCAGGAGCACCAGTGCAGCAACAACTTGGTGGACAGGTTGCACAGCAACCCATGGCCCAGCAGTTTACCGTGCAACCAGCACTGCAACCAGCAGACCATCAACTAGCTGGGCAGTCTGCACACCAACCCATGGCCCAGCAGTTTGCAGCACAACCAGGACAGCCTGCGCAGCAACCAATGGTCCAGCAGTTTGCAGCACAACCAGGAGCACCAGTGCAGCAACAACTTGGCGGACAGCCTGCGCAGCCACCCATGGCCCAGCAGTTTACCGCGCAACCAGCACTGCAACCAGAAGACCACCAACTTGCTGGGCAGTCGGCACAGCAACCCATGGCCCAGCAGTTTGCAGCACAACCAGGAGCACCAGTGCAGCAACAACTTGGTGGACAGGTTGCGCAGCAACCCATGGCCCAGAAGTTTGCAGCACAAACAGCGCTTCAACCTGCGCTGCAACCAGCAGACCACCAACTTGCTGGGCAGTCGGCACAGCAACCCATGGCCCAGCAGTTTACAGCACAACCAGGAGCACCAGTGCAGCAACAACTTGGTGGACAGGTTGCACAGCAACCCATGGCCCAGCAGTTTACCGCGCAACCAGCACTGCAACCAGCAGACCACCAACTTGCTGGGCAGTCTGCACACCAACCCATGGCCCAGCAGTTTGCTGCACAACCAGGAGCGCCAGTGCAACAACAACTTGGTGGACAGCCTGCGCAGCAACCAATGGTCCAGCAGTTTGCAGCACAACCAGGAGCACCAGTACAGCAACAACTTGGTGGACAGGTTGCACAGCAACCAATGGTCCAGCAGTTTGCAGCACAACCAGGAGCACCAGTGCAGCAACAACTTGGTGGACAGGTTGCACAGCAACCAATGGTCCAGCAGTTTGCAGCACAACCAGGAGCACCAGTGCAGCAACAACTTGGTGGACAGGTTGCACAGCAAGCAATGGCCCAGCAGTTTGCAGCACAACCAGGAGCACCGGTGCAGCGGCTTGACGGAGAGCCAACACAGCCAATTGTGCAGCAGTTGGCTGTTCAACAGGGCACACATGCTGCTGCTGAACAGCTTTCTGATCCTTCTGTGCAGCCAACAGCCCAGCCTGACACCATTCAACAGCAGGTTCAAGCTGCTTCCGTTGTCGGGTTGCAAACCAGAGAGCCTCCCGTTCAGGCATTGCCTGCAACGGAGCAGCATCTCATCCGGGGGGGCCGCAAGTGCCAGCAGAGACGGTGCAGGGCTTTCGTTTCACTACCGAGTGCAAAGGCCAGTCTGAATCTAGGCTGAGTTTTGGACTTGAATCACAATTTCGGCGCTGTTCTTGAACGGTTGATTTGTAAAGGACTATCGCATCCATGAAAAGTACTCCTTTTCTCTCTTTGAAGTCATGTTGAATGTGTGTAGAGCTTGCAAGCAAAACCAAAGTTTTATCTTCAATTCCACTTCAGACCACCCCTGGAAACTTTGTGCAGCATTTCTCGGCTTGTGTTTGGGAAGATCACGGGGGATCCTGAGGTGAAACTTTCATCGGATGGCCTGTTGGCAAAGCACATGGCGCCGCAGGAGGACGTGCAACATCCAGCATATTTGATGTACGTCAGATTCCACAAATCATGTGTCATTCACGAAAAAACATGTGGCACTGGGCCCAGCGTGACTTTGCAACTTTTCTCAGGAGGTCTTGCAGGGCGTGGTCTTTTGCAATTCGCCAGTGCCTGTGGTGAATGGAGGCGAAGAATGTTGGGCTGCGACATTTCTATTTCATTTGTGAAGTGAAGACGTGACCAAGCTCAAGACAACCAAACTCAGAGCAGGAGTCAGCTCTGTCGCTTGGATTGTTTTTCTAGTCGTCGCAATTTGACAAATCCAGTACATTGGCAGACCTTATGACCTTACTCAGAAGTCACAGCCTTGCTGGAAGCTCACATTGGGGCCGTTTGATTTTCTTTAGTGTTGCAGGCTGGTACTTTGCGGTCCAAGTGGAAACGACGCAGAACACTGAGCTGGATGGTACCTGGGCTGTGGACTGGCGGAAGGCTGCCCCTGTTGCTGCTGGCTTCGATTAACTCCAGCAACAACTCCTTTCATCCATTCATCCGTACAAATCGTCGATCTCACTTTCCTGTGCAACGTTTAGTTTAAGTTTAATTGAAAGTGCATTCAAATTCTGACCCCCAACCAATGCTTCATGTCATCATGTCATCATGTCATCATGTTATCATGTCATCATGTCATCCCCTGGTTTCACTTCTGCATGTCATCACCGATCTCCTGTGATTCTCCGGCCCCGAGGCCTGGTGCTGGGCATCACCACCACGCCCCCTGCTGCGCTGGCGCAGACAGCCCCCGAAGGCTTCGAGGCGGCCGATGACGTGCCCAACTCCTGGAGCTTTGGTGCCGCGGTACGAACTGGAGATGTTTGAAGATGTTTGGGGGTGTTCTGCTGAGTCTTTGTTGGCTAATACTGATATCCTATGATATACTATGATGTACTACAGTATGTCTTTTTTTTTTGATCTTTTTGGCTCCTTTTTGGTGTATACCAACAATTAAAGAGTATGTTGCCGCGAAGAAATGAAGCTGTCTTACGGTGGTTTGGACTTGATATGACTTGATCAATTGAATTTGTACTGCTTCACCTTTTGAGCAGTTCCACAAGCCGTTCAGCTTTTGACTGGTGACGCCTCGGGGTCTTTGTCTATCTTGATCCATAGTGGTGTGTGGGTTGCGAATCTAGAAAGGCGTTTGACCTTTGCTTGGTAAAACGGGCCCCTTGTTATTCAAGTCACGGGCCCTTTTTTCAAGCTGAGCTTTCTCGCTACTTCGCAGCACATGATTTGACCAGCAATGGCCAGCACTGTCCGGGTTGCGCAAAGGTTACAACGGCCAGATGCGTGTGGATGAGGTGGACGATCCAATTCCCATCAGCTGGAATCCCAAGGACGCCAGCTACGTGGGTAGTTTGAATGTGGACTGGTTACCTTTGTGTCTTTGCGCCTGTTTATGCTAATGTCATTTCAGACGATTTGAACCCATAGTGCCATAGAGCGGTTGGAGCTCGATTCCTTTTGAAGTGTTCATCAGAATTCCAGTTCCAATGGGAAGGACCTGCAGAACGGGGATGTCGTGGGCCTTTTCATCAGTGCCGATGGCGAAGGACAGGCAGCTGCAGGTCGAGCTGGCGGGTAAGGTCTGTATAAGGTCTGTACTACCGCTAGTTGTGCATATGATATGGCTCATGTTGTGAAGTCTGAAGTGCAATGACTGGCTCAAGTGCTTCATGCGGTAAGGTCATTGTTTTTTTTGCAGCCATGTACTCCGAAACACGATTGAATTGATTTGAACGGAATGTCTGATTCTAGCTTCGCCCCCGTGATAGCTGAGTCGCCTCAGGACGGATCTACCAAAACGACATAGTGAAGTTGTCAAAGGCTAGGGCCAGGGTGCTGTTGATGTGCCTCAAGGATTTGTTCATACACAGCTCTTGATCCATGATTATCCTCACTTTTACCGTTCGATTCAAATGGCAACTATACACCTCTAGAGCCTCTATTATACAACATTTTTGAACAAACAAGTCTCCTTTCCGCTCTCATTCTTGGAGCTTACCTCTCAGTTCTTGTCAGGTCTCAGGCCTTCCTGTTTACCAAGCCATGTGACTTTGCCAGCAAAAAATCGGCTTCATGATTTCTTTGGTAGGGTTCAAGAAGTACAGAAAGGCAACCTCATGATAAAGCGAACATCTACATATCAAGATCGAGTCGTGTCACCATTGACGGGAGCCTGGCCTTTGCCCACCGAGGTATCCTTTCATCGATCTACTGGGAAACACTGTTGCAGTTCGCCTGTCTCCCAATGCTCAACCAGCTTCAATGGACGGGGTCGCTGAAGCAGTGGAAGAGGAGCAAAGGCCATGCACCTACTCGAATACTTTTTTGCTGGCATCACACTCTACTGTCAATGTTTATACCTGGAGCAGACTCCATTCATCCTTTCAAGCATTTCCGCCAGTTGACCTTGATCACATTGGAATTTTATACTTCCTTTTGCCGGCTTTGGTGCAACCTCCACAAGGCTTCATTGTTCTGAAGGTCCCCTGCAGTCCCGCTGACCTACGACTTCTCCACCGCGCAGCTCACATCCTTTGCCATGCAGCCACGGCCCAGGGACGTGATGCTTTCGGCCGAGCCTTGGCCAAAGATCGGAACGGACTCAGGCAAAAAATTGCAAAAAGCAATTGGCTTCGAAAGGAAGTGACAAGACCTTTTTAGTATCCACTCTGACCCACTTTTAATGGTTTTGGGAGGTATGCATCATGCAAACTGTGCGAGATGTTTTCGGTTGCTGCTATTTTGGGCCACGAGATCGCCCTGCGACCGATCCAGCCACACTCGTGACCACCACGCCATGGGCATCAGTCGCTTGAGCCATTGCTGCGGGGCCATTTCCATTGAGATATGGCAGATGCCCCAGCCGTGGGCGGCCGATGGTAGCGAGCATTGGCGAGTTCACCCGACACATTGGTCAGGGCGACTGGTATCTTGCTGCAAACCTCTTAGAGTTGGCCCAGCAGCAAACGACAAGATGCGACGTGCGGGCATACAACACTGCGCTGAGTGTCTGCAAGGCATGTGCTGCATGTGCTGCATGTGCTGATGATATTTCCAGTCATTTTTGCTCCTCTGTCTTGAGAGCTTTTGGGACGTCCTGGTACGTCTCTCGTAGAATCAAACAGATGCGGTGTGAATTTGCCAAAAACCAGTAGCAAGGGTGGGACGTTGACTTCGAGACTTGGGGACGCCAGGCATCTCGCAAGGGATGGTTGGCTGCTGCTCAGTTTCTTGAGGGGCTCAACAAAAAGGAGCTCCGACCTACGGTTGCTTGGCTGCTGACACTAGCTTCGGTTCTGGTCATGACTTGGCAAGAATTTTTGGTGCAGAAAGTCAATACTTCCACAACAATATGACAATATGTAACAGCATGGGTTTTACTGTCCTTCTACAGCTCGTTGCATTCCATCAGATGAATCATCCATATGTTGGCCATTTGTTTTAGGACTCAAGTTCTTGAGGTTGTGAGCTATGGTGCGTGTATGAGAACCTGCGAGAGATCAACCCAATGGCAGCGGGTCTTTTGTCTGCTGCAGGACAGAGAGCAACTGCTGTCGCATTGAGGGGACTACTCAGAGTTGTTACGCTAAAATGGAGAGTTCAAAAATCAAAAGTTCAAAGGTTGGAGAGTTTAGTTTTTGGTCTACTCATTATTCTTGGCAGAGCTTTGATCTTGATATGGATGGCGCGTTTCCGTCTGGAGTTCGTGCCAACCTTCTCCTGGCACTGATGCTAGCCTCTGCCAGGAGACAGGATTGCACCAAATCGAAATCAGCGCCTTGGAATTGCATGGTAGTCGTTACAGCAGAATCTACTGTGAGTCCTGTGGTCGTCATCCACGTCGTTATCATCCGCGTCATCATCATCCGCGTCGTCATCATCTGCGTCATCATCATCCGCGTCGTCACCACCACCACCACCATCATCATCATCACCACCACCACCATCATCATCATCATCACCACCATCATCATCATCATCACCATCATCTCAGCATCTTCATCCTCACCACCACCACCACCACCATCATCATCATCATCATCACCATCATCATCACCATCACCATCACCATCATCGTCATCATCATCATCATCATCATCATCATGATCACGATCATCCTCACCATCACCATCATCACCATCCACATCATCATTCTCATCCGCATCCTCATCATCATCATCATGATCACGATCATCCTCACCATCACCATCATCACCATCCACATCATCATTCTCATCCGCATCCTCATCCTCATCCTCAAAATCCTCCTCCTCCTCCTCCTCCCTTCTATCGGTTGTTGCCTTCTATCAGTTGTTGCACATGCTGCAGTTCTCCCATAACAGCCATGTGGTTTGAACACTTGGATCATCTTGGATCCCTAAGGCAACGTTCTGGTCAGCACAGCTATTAACTCATGCGAGGTGCGGCAGGGATTGGTCGTGGAGTCATGGTGCTGCATAGGCGAAGAAAAGCTGCCAGGTGCAGCACACTCGGCCTCCAGCGATCCACAGATTGGCTGGTCAGTTTTTGGTCATCTCAAAATATCTGTTGTCACTTTAAGGCTGCTTTGATTACTTTAACATGAAACATATGAAGCATCCAATTCGTGTGGTACCCAATTCTCAACTGTGACCAGCCCAGGTTGGGCAGTGTTTCCAGAGATAACTAAGCGCCCTTGATCCACTGTCAGCCTTGGTTGGGCCTGCTTTTCCTTGCAGGCCTGGCAATGGAAGGAGGTACTGCAACTTCTTGGAAAACCCAAAGTGGAACCAGTCTCTTAGCGCATAGAGCAGAGCCTTTTGTACAGCAGTCAAGCCGAAGCATCAATTGTGAGATGCTACTGCAAGCGATTCGAACTTGTGTCAATTCCTGTTCCAGAAGCCTCCTCCTTTTCAAGCACTAGACTATTCTTGTGAAGCAGCCCTGTGACCCAGTCGTACCGCTACTAGATTTCTACGCCGGCAATTTCTTTCGAGAGATTTCCGTGTCATGATTCAAGCACATGAAATTATTTCGACCATGCAGCACATCAGGATCTTATCTCCTACAGTGCAGCCATCAGTGCATGTGGGAAGGCCAAGCAATGGATGCTTGCGCTTTGCTTGTTGCGAGAGAGTCAAAACTTGGCTCTGGAAGTGATCCTGGTCTTGCGATCATTCGCTTTTTTTTTGGGTTGGATTGTCATGCGATGGGGCTCCAACTTCACAACAGGGCTTTCTCCAAAGCAACAACCAGTTGAGTGGGCAAAACTGGCTTCATTCCACAGTGTCTAGCTTCTCGGGGAATTCCCCCCCAGCAGCAGTACAATTTCGAACATGTTTTTGCTTATCAGAAGAACCATTCTATATTTCGACATTTTCTTCTTCAGTCGATCATAGTGAAAACCATTTCCACTGTATTGCCATCCGAGGAACATCGTCACTTACAATGCGGCCATCACCGCATGTGACGACAGCTGGCAGAGAGCCTTGCAGCTCTTCACTGAGTGCAGATCCACAATGAGACGGAGCATTGTGAGCTACAACGCGGTGCCTTGTCAATGTGAGGAATGCTGGGGTCTCGTTACGAGTCTCGTTGGGAAATCATGAAATGTGGCGGTGAAAAGAAACCATAATATATGTCTATCAAAATTGAATTGTACATTGTACATTGTTACAATATACATATTCTGGTCATGTCCATTTTTTTCAGGGTAGAGATTGCCTGCAAGCCACAAAGGGGCCACGCTGTATCGAGGTCATGGCTGCTTGTGAAACTGCGCACTGCTGGGCCTGGTGCTTGGCATTCTTGGATGCCCTGGCAACACCTGACGTAGTGAGCTTCAGCACTGCGATCAGTGCATGTGGCAAGGCCTTAGGGTTGGATTGGAAGCTTGAAAGGGCTGGTGGGTTTAAAGTGTTCTGGAAGGTTGGCAAGTCATCAAATTAACGGTGCAGAGTAGGCGCAGATCTTGTTTTGGCAGGTTTGGCCTGTGGCTCAAACTGAACCAAAATCGTGAAAATTTGGGCACCAAAGCCAGCCGCCTTTGCACCAGGCCGGCGAATGGAGGAGGGCCTTAGAAGTGTTGTCTGCTGGCTACGCGACGTCTTCTGCAAATGCAGTGGCGTTGCTCGAACACTGACCCGTGCGGGGGTGTGGTACCTGGGGATGGCTGCTGAAAAGTGGTCAAGTCAAGTGTGCTTACATGATATTTGATGATATTTGGATCGTACAGGGTCACAGAGGTGCTTGAAGTATCTTGAAGTCCTCAGGTTGAATGCCAGCATCAGCGCATGTGAGAAAACCTCGGAGTGGCAACAGGTCAGCATCGCTGACGTATGTATCAAGCGTTGTTGATATGAGTTATGAGTGACTGAGTGACCGTGAGTGCTCAAATGCAAAGCCACTGATAGTCTGAGTCTGCTTCGTGGATTTTTTTGCAGCTGAGAAGCGTCAGGCTTCCCTGCTGTTGCGACGAAGTCAGCTGGCACGTTTGGTTGATAGTATCAGCTTCAGTGCATCCATCAGTGCTTGTCACAAGTCGGGGCAATGGCAAGAGGCTGGGTTGCCATTGGGTCCAACTTGGTGGAGACCGCCAGGTCTATGTGGCTATTTGCCACACGATTGGAACATTTTTTGTTGAAACTATATATATATAGTTGAAACTGTTGCTTCCAGTCTCACTTTCTCCTCTTTAAACCCGTCCTTTCTGTGAATCGGAAGAGTTCATCCACAGGCGCTGCAAACATTTCGAACGTCGATGGATGGTGGATTCTGGAACCTCATGAGTCTCAACGCGGCCATCAGCGCCGTGGGCAGTACTTCCTGGCGACTTGCCACTGAGCTCACCTGCTCTGCACAGGCATGGGATCAGAAAGGTAGGACCAGGTAGGACCAGGTAGGACCAGATAGGACCAGGTAGGACCAGGTAGGACCAGGTAGGACCGTCAAGCTCATACGGAGGCCCACCTTGGAGCCTAGACTACACATGGGATGGTTCTGCCCTCTTGTTCCTGCAACGTTTGTGAGGCCAACGTTGTGACACTCACTGCGCTGGTGTCCGCATCAGACCTCGCTTGGCGCAAGGGGCTCTGGTTGCTAGGGAATCATCGAGTGTCTCCAAGCTCAAGCTGGCGCATCTGGCGCGCAGCCCGAACGGCTGTGGCCAGGGCTTGTGGCGAGGCGTGAGGGCGGACATCGCTGTGATCATGTGAGGTTTGCCGGGTTTGTGGCTGCTGTGTTGCAAGCAGTGAGGTTGTTATCGGGCATGATCCGAAATTTGTAAATGGTAGGGGGTGAAATTCAACCAAAACGGATATTCGGATATTGCCAATCCATTCCTCAAAGACTTCCATAATATATTCGCGGAGAGTTCAGCAGGGATTACAACTTTGTCAACCTAGGTTTGATGGTCAGAAGCTATCACCGTTGCAAAACTGCATTGTCAGGTGTGGGTGCGAGCTGTTCACTTGCTGGACCAAGAGGATGTGGTGTCCTGCAGCCTCCAGGAGGGGACTTAGAATTCTTTACGCGTGGATCCATCTTGATCTTGGTCAATCTGTCAGGAATTTGCAAGTTAAACTTACTTTCACAAGTCTTCCTAATGAACGACCTCAATCGCAAATACAAGCAACCGCAAATCAGAACCCGTGCCTGAAGCGTATTGTCTTGTGGACTTGCGGAGTTTGCCGAACTAACAAATGTTAGAAACGTATCTAGGGGAAGTGTGTGATGTCCAGTGGTGGCTGCTTCTGCATGCTAAGTTGCAGGTGGATGTCTGCGAATTTGAGAATGACGCCAAGACTGCCCGGATCCTCCTTGCCCGGATGGAAGCCATGATGGACACGTTGCCATGGCCCAACCAGCCCATACAGCTTTGAGATTGTGGGAACTGCTCAAGGTTTCTCGGTTACAGAATCCATCGCTTCCCAGAAGAACGGCAACTTTGAATTTGGTGGTGGATAGAAAAGCCTGAGAACATCAGTGAATTTCCCCCACGAACATCAGTGAATTCCTGATCAGCCGATTTTTTGGTTCCCAAGTTGTGTCGGGCTTCTGGTACCCTCAAGGGCATGCGGTTGCGAACCTAAATGCTTCACACGCCGACACATCCCAGTTTCAGCTTGAGCTTGAGCCGTAGGTTTAGAGCTCAACATCGTTCTCAAAGGCGCTTCGTCTGTTGCTCTGTTGCACCTCAAAAGATCGCACAAAAACTTATTTTGAATAGGAGGGTACAGCTGTGCACTGCATCAATTTGATGGGATGCCTACTTTCCTTTGAGGTTTGATGCTTTGGAGTCGAAACATGTGAACATGTAATTGAGGCCAGCCTTTGAAGTTTAAACTTATTAAACTCATAAACTCTACTTTTACTTGCTGCCCTCAGCCACCTGACTCAGAGAGGGGGAACCGGCCGCCCTGACCCAGAGTCAATCGTCACCTTCCCGGTTGGCAGCACCGAAGATGGAGGAACCGTTGATTTGCCAGCCTGGCGATGAGATTCCTGAGTTGGTACCAGAGGGCAAAGGCAACTCCGGCAATTCCAGAGATGCATCTCCGGCTCACCAGGAGCAGCAAGCACAGCAGATGGACAGTGCTGTTCCCTGGACGAAGGTTGGGGACTACCATCTACCAGTGTGGAAGACCAAGACTGCCAACACATTTCTGGAGCTGGAGTCGGAGTGTGGAGCAGAATCGCCCAGAAGGTGGGCTTCGGAGCAAGGTTGCCATGATTTCATAGTGCAACCTTTCAGGGCTGAGCCCAAGCCCAAAGAAGAGAAGAAAACATCCTCTGATCTCCAGAGCCGGACTGAGAAGCAACGCATCAATTCGCGCTGGCAGGATGCCTTGCAGGAAGGGGACAAGGATTGGGCTGGCAAGGAATGGAGGCATCACGTCCATGATCGCTTGGGCCAGTCCGTTTCTCTCGGACGGCAGGATCACCTGAAAGCAAAAGGAATATGTTGCTACTGCCGGAAGGATTGCATCAACACTGTGGCGGAGAGATGCCAGCGTGATGTTGGTTGTCTTTTCCATCAGTATGGCCTGAAGACTGTCCTAGAGATGGACTGGAACAATTTGGCTACCTTGCCCAACGAGCTTCGTGAAGAAATCTACGAAGAAATGCCTGAGACATGTCCTCACTTCAACCTCCAATGCCCATCTGGTAAATGCTCTGCTGGGACCACCCAGTGTCACCACCATCTACATGGCTGCTGCAGCAGAGGATTGCGTTGCCTGGCGTTTTGCCACTGTGCAGTTCCACCGGCCCACAAACCGCGGAGGTACCATTGGGAGGTATCCCGCGCCCGACCAGCCGGCTTGGGCTTTGAGTCCCGTTCCAGCGTGGGCAAGAAGGGCGTCTGGCAGGGCACATGGGAGGGCACATGGCAGGGCACATGGCAGGGCACATGGCAAAACACGTGGCAAAACACGTGGCAAAACACGTGGCAAAACACGTGGCAGGGCAGGTGGCAAGGCAGATGGCAGGGCAGGTGGCAGGGCAGCTGGTAGCTTGCAGCTCCAAGATGTTGCCCAAACGCATGGTTATTTGAGAAGATGCTTCAATTTGGAAGGTGGTTTGGCATGGCTGTCAAACATGGTAGTGATAGGTAGCCGAGCTGCAGTGAGTCTCAGCTCTCACTCCGATCGTTTGCACAGCTTGCAAAGCGTTTCAAAGGTAGGCTCCATACAGATGTGGCATGCGGCTGTCAAAATGGCGCGGGACTGATTTCTGCAAATTTGGACATCACTCGAAGATCAGACAAGATCAACAGGTACAATGTACGGCAATGACAAGTTCTGCATTGGGTTTGTGACTCGCAGTATTGCTGCTTTAAGAAACGCATGGATTCAATTTCTAGTTTTTACAGCAGTTCAGCAGAGGTGGATTTCAGGCTTAGACCCCCATGAACGCCTGCAGGTGGACATCATGCTCCCGTGAGACAGCGCGACGGAGCCTGGGCAGTTGATAGCCTGCGGAGTATATGAGCTCAGCCTCCAGGAAGCTCATCCTGCTGAGTGGCCAAGCCAACAGCATTGCCTGTGCGCATTTGACATGGACTTGCTGTGCCGACTGCAATGAATCAAAGGTGAACCAAAGCGCACGATTTGCACTTGGCTTTCTGGAGGTGTAGGTATCAAGACGAGCTTATGAGCCAATTTCCTACATCCGAATGTGGAGAAAGGTGAGTTCGGGTGGCTATTGTAGAAGACCAAAAACAATTTTCCTCGATGACCGACCGGTGCGTGAAGCAGTTAGAAGGATCCACTAGTGCTGGCCCAAACACTGATTGTGACGGCGGTCTTCATAGAGCATTTGCAGGGCTTTTTGTTTGAGTTTTGGTTTTCCAACATGATTCATGATCAACATGATTTGATGACGGTCCCGCTACCTCTGCATGAACATGCTCGAAGAGACCGAGGAGATGTTACTGGTGAAGAGGAAATCCAACATTTTTTCTCAGGCGCGACTGCACAGCAACTTCCATGTTGGTTCCAGCCTCGGTTGAGCTTGGCTGCTGGTAGGACATGGTCTATGGAAATGGCGTGGCGCCCAACAGCCCATTGGGCAGCTACTTTGAGGTCCGAATGGGCAATCCCATGGAGGAAACAGAATTGGGTACCCCAAATTGGATAGTGTGACATGGAAACTTTGAGCAAAATCTCCAGGTCCTTTGGGGCTGAAGCTTGTGACGAGCAATCCAATGCCCATGGACGTCGAATCATTGTCAAAAGCTTATTGCTAAATAGTACTGATCCAAATTTTATCCAATTTTCAGTTACAAAAGTTCCAAGACAGGACAAAGTCCACTCAGTCACTACGGGCCATCTTGACAGGTGCGTTTGGAGTCGACAGTGGCACGTGGATTTGCTTTGGGTTTCCAAGCAGCCAATGCTGTGGGCTCCAAGGTGACTGAGGCATGTGGCTTTGTGTTTTCTCATAGGGGCACCCTCGGCATCAAAAGCATCCCCATAGGCATCCATAGGCCCATATGTCAATGTCATGGTTGATGAGTTGATGATCATTTTCCCAATTGTTTTAGGGCAGTTGCAAGGATTTGCAAGGGCAGGACAAAGCTGTGGAACACCTGTGCAGTGCCACGGTGAGGCACCGGCAACTGCTTGCAGCCTGGGATTTGATGGCATGGCCTTGATAGGTGCGGCTGGAAATATCCATTGAACATCCATCAAAGGGTGGTCAAATATGATATGATCATATATTATCATATATTATCCATGAAATGTACGAGTTTTCCATAGTTTTCCTGTAACTTTTTCCTTCATCCCATGGAACTGCCATCCCAGGTGGCAGCTCCTCCTTGGTGCCCGACTGGCCCACGCGGCCATGGTGCGCCTCGGACCGCGTGGGGCTGCTGGCTTCGGCGGGCTACCTGGCACTGGCGCTGAATGGCGAGTGGCTGGTGGAAGTGCCAGGAGGGGCCACGTGGGGATCAAGTTCCATGTGGTTGAGTGGATAGTATTTAGATATGATGTGTCATACGAAGTTTTTTTTTACATATACAACACAATAATACATACTATAATATATATATATACGGTACGACGGTACGTATATTATAAACATATTCATTAAATAATGTCGTTTCCTTTATTATTAGATGTACGCATATGTTGTACACATGTGTTTAACTGATCGAGTAGTAGATGTGTATGCCACCATGTGTAAATGAGTATGTATTATATATATATATATACATATATATACATATACCCATGCATCGAGTTTGGCAGGCTTGGGTGTGCATGTATCATCTTCAAGTGTTCAATGAATGCTATCATTTTGGCTCAAGTAAACTTGAACCAAAATAGCATTCATTGCTGTTTTCTTTCTCGGTCATTGTAAGGGGCGACCTTACTTGACCTTGATTGGTTGGTTCAAACTCAACACAAGGGGTGACCTTGTATGCAGCGCAAACTCCCAGGCATTGATATCCCAGCAGCCACTGAGGCGAAGATCCTGCATGCGGCTGCGTTTTTGGAATTCAAGAACCACGTGGAGAGGCTGGCAAGGGAGGATTCGGGCCCAGCAGCATACACATGCTGGATGCATGGTATCGAGGTGTTGCACTCCCCCTACGTTCTCACTACTGGGACAGATTGTGAGTTGTTTCCCCCCTTGCCGAAAATGCCCTGCTGCCTTGATGGATGTCCACGTTGCGCAGCTCATGTGGGTGGGTTCAAGTTCCCGTGGCTTGGCTTGTGGAATAGCCGGGGAGTTGTGCTGCCTGATGATGTGGCGCCTGCGGATGCTTGGGAGTACTACTACCAGCACCAGGAACCCATGGATCTCCTGCTGGTTTCGGCATACACGAACTTCAGAGTGGCCGAGGACGTGGTGCCCCAAGAGCTCTATGGACTCCAGCTCAGATGTTCAGCGGGCGACGCTGGGCAGCTGGGCCTGGGCGAGCTTTTCGAGCAATGGAGGGTCTGGCTTCGATGTGTGGGCCCGCACGAGCTCCTGCCGATCTTTCTCGAGCCGCGTCACTTCCCCAGGGCCCCCAGGGGGCGACCCTGGCCGGCATGGGGGAGAGAGGGCGCCAGGGCTCATCGAGCTCTTTGTGGATGGCTGGAAAGCCAAGAAGCCAGAGTCCAGCATCTGGGGACTGCATGCACGGAGTGCGGCGACCCCACCAGGCGCGTGTGTTGGGCCTGCTGCGTTGGCATGTGTAGTGACTGCTATACATGGAGGCAGCCATGCACAGTTTGTGGAGGCCGTAAGAAGATGTTCGCTGAAGGTTGATGCTATGACAGAGGAGGCACCTCTGGAGTCACCGCAGCATCTTTTTGCTCTCCGCACCTTAGCAATTCTGTTAGGGTGCAGTGGCATGGCATCAGGCGGAAAAGGCTACTATGCAGCT